GTTGGTTTGCTGAAGACTAGAGAGTCCGACCTTACAATTAATGTCGAAAAGAGCAGTCTTTGTGTTTCAGATGTTTGATACTTAGAACATTTGGTAAGCTATTGTGTTATTAAAACTGATCCCGATAAAGCTTCAGCAATTACCGAGTTTGCATTTCGGCCCACAAATAGAACTGGGGTCAGTTGCTCAGTAGCATCGAACATGCGTTGATGTCCACTACACATGCATGGCTACAATTCAAATAGGTATTCCCAGCTCGAAGACCTGCGAGGAAATACAGTAGGCAAATATTATGCCAAAAATATGCGTCAGTAACGATTTTTCCTTTTCTTTGCAAGCGTGATCAGACTTAGGTGATTAAACCCCAAGTCTGATTTTGGAGGGGGAAAATTTTAGTAGCACTTGCACTTGGAAAAAAACGTATCTCTATTATTTTTTATTGTGATGTGTATGTAAATCATATTCCTGTAACACATAGAGTTTACATCGATAAAAGGTTTTCCTGAATCGAAACTCTAGTGGTTCTTTCAAAGTGAGATTGAGAAATATTTTAATCTATAAAGTTCTGATAAGTATTTGTTCAGATTTGCTGAGATAATTTTTGCCATTGTAATCACTTGGCTTAATGTGTCTTCTGTACCCTAAGAATCAATAATTAAGATTATCCTGATAGCCGATTCTTACATCAATAACCGAAAGGTGTTGTTCATAGAAATATGAACATGATTTTTTCATTAGTTTAACCTTCACATAGACAATGCTCGATCTTTAATATTGTTAAACACCTTGTGTCTTAAAGTGCCAGATAGTTTATGACACTTAATGTGAACAGAAGATAAGTGGGTGTTGTTCTACCAATAAGACACATTAAGACTGTTAAGAAAAATATTTAACCAAATAAAATTGACAATCGAAAGGGAGATTAGACTCTTTTCTCATCTTAACATTAGTCCTTCGAAAAAAAAAGAATCAACGACCTAAAATAATATTAGTTGCAACAAAAAGAAAAACGAAAGAGGACATCAAAAGTCGAAACGAAAAGGGAACAAAAATTAAAATAATAAAAGAAAACAGCTAAGGAGGCGACATTATAAAAAAACGAACCAGCAAAAAATAAAAAAAAAACAGGAATAAACAAGTAAAAAAGCAGTAAGTTCGGCCGGGCCGAACTTTTAATACCCTCCACCATTTGGTAAAAATTTGTCAATTTCCAAAAAAAAAAAAATAAAATCCGTTAAAAATTCTGCTAAAATTTTAAAAATACCGAATGCTTATACGACGACGTGGACCTGCATAGGCAACTTTTGTCATAAGTTATTACAATATTTAAATGCGAAACTTGAAGAAAAATCTGTTTATAATGTAGCTAAAATCATCAAAATACCGAATATGTGGGGTACCGTTATATGGGGGCTATACGAAGACGTGGACCTGCACAGACAATTTTCTGGCATGGGCTGAAGTATCCAATACAAACATCACATGCGAAATTTGAAACAATCCCGGTAAATAATGTCCCTAAAATCATCAAAATACCGAATATCGGGGGGTACGGTATATGGGGGCTATACGAAGACGTGGACCTACATGGCCCATTTTCTGTTTTATGCTGCAGTATCTATTACGAACTTCAAATACCAAATTTGGAACGATTCCGTTAAGTAATGTCGCTAAAATCATCAAAATACCGAATATCGGGGGGTATTGTTATATGGGGGCTATATGAAGACGTGGACCAACATGGCTCATTTTTTGACTTAGGATGTAATATTCGTTACGAACATCAAATACCAAATTTGAAACGATTCCGGTAAACAATGTCGCTAAAATCATCAAAATACCGAATATCGGGGGGTGCCGTTATATGGGGGCTACACGAAGGCGTGGACCTGCACAGATAATTTTCTGTCTTAGGTTTTAGTATCTATTACGAACTTCAAATGCCAAATTTGAAACAATTCCGGTGAATAATGTCGGTAAAATCATCAAAATACCGAATATCGGGAGGTACCGTTATATGGGGGCTATATGAGAACTAGGACCTACATGGCCCATTTACGAACTTAACCTGCCTACTGGCAAAATATACATGTGTGCAAAATTTTAGCCTTCTATCTCAATTTGTTCGAAAAATAGCGTGATTACAACAGACAGACAGACACGCAGACAGACGGACGGACATGGCTAAATCGTCTTAGAATTTTACGCTGATCAAGAATATATATACTTTGTTGGGTCTGACATGAGTATTTCGAGGAGTTACAAACGGAATGACAAAATTAATATACCCTCCATAGTATGGTGAAGGGTATAAAAAAGAAAAGACTGGAGCAATAAGAAAAGGACCTTTAGACTCGTCATTAAATTTATTGGAAAGCAAAATGAACGAGTTAAATGACATTTTATCACCCCGGCAGCTCCTCACTTCGGAGGGTTGTGGGAAGAATGAAGTATCGCGATGAAGTATCACCTAAAAAGAACCGTTAGCGACATGAAGTTGACGTATGAAGAAATTAGCACAGTGCTGACCCAAATAGAAGCGGTATTAAACTCAAGGCCCTTACAAGAACTAGATAGCAGCAGGGAGCACATCTAAACCTTAACACCAGTCCATTCTATAATTGGACGTCCATTATTAGAGGCTCCGGCAATTGAACGTCCATTTAGAGGCTCATGTCAGTGAACACTACAAAGCGATTACATAAGCTAATAAGAAATCCTGTAATGATGCTGACCATCATTATGAATCTTTGTTTGGTAAAATCGACTAAGGCCTCTTCCGTAAAAAATTGAACATTGTCGACGAAATGTATCTAGATCCGTTTTCACAAATTCATGTGGCCGCATCTTCGTGGAACATGGTTGTTTATTTTGAAATGAAACCATACACTGGAGCTTGCAACAAGGTTGTTAAACACCTCGAATAAGATATGCCCTAAACACCAAACATACGAGGATCAATGCTGGTCAGTCATAAACAATATGGAGTATAAAGTAAACAAAATCAAGGCGAATAATCGTTTATCCCTGAGGGAAGGTAAACGACATTGAATTTCATAGGACCTTTTCAGCATTGGGCATTTGAAGTGATGGACGACGAGAATCGTTCTCGATATTAATAGCCAACCAACATGATCTTAAAGAACTAACGAAAAAGCAGATATCGGTAGTTGATTCTACGGTCAATCTGCTGAAAAGAACGACGGAGGAAGTCAATTCTCACTTTACGGAAAAAAGTGTATAATTGAGAACATAAGCGCCACAACGAACGAAAGCTGTTGAATCAAAAGACCAGCTGTTGTGGAATATACGCCTTGGAATTGAAAATAATGAATAAAAATTATTGAAATTTGTAAAAAACGGTTATCGTAGTAAAATCGTTTTCCTACCTTTACCATATATACAATTTTTTACTAAACATACTATATATACACACACACACACACATATATATATATATATATATATATATATATATATATATATGTCAAATGCTTTGTTTGGGGACAGCAATTTTTTTAACTTTTGAACCCATTTTTAGTATAATTAGGGCCTTCCTCAGCTACATTTAATAATTATTAGGTAATTTTCCCGAAAACTTTTGATTTGCAACATATTTTTTACATAACGACTACTTTGAGGTCATCATATATGTTGTAGCTCCTTTCAGACACTGTCCCCAAAATGCACACGGCGTATATTTTGTTGTGGGTTGCCACCACGTTGTCAAATATATTCAACACAACTTAACGCCGTTGCATGATAACCGGATGTCCTTTGGGAAAACTGCAAATATAACATGAGCAACATACACATATATTCCTAAAAAAAACCTGAGTTTAAAACATTTTTTTATCTTAAAAAAGTTCGCTTCAGGAAAAAATTTTTTCAGGAGTTCAAAAATTTCGCTTGAGAGCAACATCTTCTTATAAAATTGAAGTTTGAGGACAAAATATACATAAACAAGTTAAATAGTATCAGTCGGGTTTGCCGGTATGAAAATCAAGTTTGAAGACAACATATTCTTTAAAAATCGATATTTCAGGAAAACATATTCCTTAAATATCCACTCCACTTTAAATGTCAAATTACAGCCCATTTTGTGGTTAAATGTGCTCACAGACTGTAAGATACTTAAGTTTTTTTGGGCGCGTTATGAACTATTCAAAATATTGGACTAATAGATTGCAAAATGCAAATATGCAAATTGCAAAATGCAAATATGCACACACACACTGGAAAATACTTTGAAACAATGGTTCAAGGTTTTGGCGCGCTTTCTGGGGTCTATGGCAAATTTTGGACCTATGTCCACAAGTTTTGACTGGAATGTTGTAGACTCACTTTTCTTCTGTGTATAATATGACTTTTGTTGTCGTCTTCTGTAATGGAGACTGTCTACGTTTTTTCTTCGTTATAGAAGGGGCCTAAGTAAAAATTTTCTAACCTGCCTTGATTTTAGTGTCGACTTTCATATCGTTATGACAAACATCTCTGCCAATGATGTTTTACTCCCTGTCCTTTGATTTACTATGTTTTCTGTGGTAGAGAAATATTAAGCATGAAAATTGGGATCCAAAAAATCATTTTTCTGAAGAACTTAGGAATTACTGTCAATTCAATGTTCTTCAACCTTCTCATGAAATTATTATTAGGATAATAATTTAGGATTAGGATAATCAAATGAATTTTGATCCGCGTGAAGAAAAGTAGTGTGGGTTATCAGTAGACAACGGAATTTTATTTTTATTATGAATTAGGCTCAAGTTTTGGGACGGAGCATTTTTTGATTCTAAGTAAATTGTTATAGAAACTGATTGTACAGTAAGAAATTCCAAACTTTTATATATTTTTTGCTGGGAAAAATACTTAAAAAATCAACACTTAAAGGTAACAAAATAAAAGTTCTCAAATATACAGTAGACTCTCACAATTTCTAATGATGGATTTTGCTCTATTTATCAGTTCCTGAATAATAAAATATGTGAAAATCAACTGTATATATTGTAATTGTCAGTTGTTCATATAAACACTATGTTTATTGCAAACATAAATTTAAACAAATTAATTTAATTTAAAAGAAACGTGTAAAATTCATATGATGATTTATATAAAGTGTTTTCTTTCGATATTATTAAATATTTTATATATTTATAATACAGTTAGAGTTATAGTGCAATTTTATTACACTCTTAATTTTAAATAAACATTTGAAGTTTTTATATTCGTGTATATAAATAAAGCGGTTTGTATTAAATTATATGACTTATTTTTTTTTATATAAGTATACATTTATAATTATATTATAATGTGTATAATAATTTACTACAAGACCTAATGGAAAAAATTGTTGGTCAAATATTTTGTATCTACAATATGAAATTAATACAAGATTTAGTGCACATTGTGTATATATTAATTTAACAACATTGCATTGTAAAATAACTACCCGAAAAGGGTTTTGGAAAATTATTGTTGAAGAGATTGTTGTAATGAAAGAAAAATTTCATCATTAATATCTTTATTAAAATCATTAATATCATCATTAATATCAACCTTAATTTTTTTGCCTTTTTTCCTTTTGTTGTCTATAAACGTTTTTACTTGTGCTGGGGTTCTGCAGCATAGCACTTCATTTTCAGACACGACCCTCATGCACTCCTTGAAAGATGGCAACTTTTCCATTGAAGAAATATCCCCAAATTCAGCAGTCAAAGCTTCTTGCTCATCGATTGTCCACCGGCATTTTTTTGTTTTTCCGCAAGAAGTATCTGTAAAAATTACACAATAATCATTTCATAAGCCTAAAACAGATGTAACAAACATCCTATTTAATAATGTCAAATGAAAATGAATGCGAACAAAAGATTAAGGTCGTTTAAGAATATAACAGTTTTATCTTTCTTCATTAGCATTCATTTTTTTCGGCATAGCACAGTGAAAAATTGCACACGAAAAACCTGATCAAAACCAAATGCAATATAAATTATGCAAACAAATATGTACTCCAAATTTATTTTTGATTAGAAAATCTAATATAAAAATATTTAAAACAAGTAATGTACTCTGTTTATATATATTGGAAACAACTAACCGATTTAAAATATAATAGAAAAAATAGTTTGTATTGGCCTTGTTCCAGAACCTGCAAGAATCTACTAGTTTTGCAATTTTTTCCGATATCGTAAAGAGGAAATTGGTTAAGGCAGTAAAAACTTTAACATTCCTGCATTTCTGGAACAGACCAATTATTATTGCATTTGTGATTAATCTGTAAAATGTCAAATCGGCCATGATATCAAATCTTTACTGGATTTTAAATAAGGCAATTTGGGGAGTTTGAAAGTGCCGGTAGCATAATCTAAAAAAATATTTGTACTGTTTAAATAATTTTGTGAGTGGACCAAAAAGGCCACATTAATACTCAGTAGGAGAGTTAAGTGAAATGAAATATAAAATCAGGAATACAAAAAAAAAATTAAAGCTAGATCATAATGCATTTGATTTTGGTCATGGTTTTCGGTAAATTAACCACTGTGTATTTTGAAACATAAGTCTACGCAAGCTTAGTTATAGTTTCTACTCAATATACTTACTATCAAGTTTCTTATTGTAGGTACTACTAGTCTTCCTTCTTATTATACTTACTACTAATTTTCTTTTTTACCAAATTTGCGCCATATGTAATATTATCTGATTCATCAGATGATGACTCAGATTCGGAAGATATGTTTCCACGAAGATTATCAAAACTATTATTTTCGGAGTTTTCCTCATTCCTACAACCAGCAGCTGACAGCAAAATCTTGGACACTGTGGTGATTTCCGCCATTGGTACCGATACTCTATAAATACTTTTGTGTATATCCTTATGGTGCCCAAGAAAATTTGCTAGCTTATCCACTGTGGCTTCTTCAACGTTTAGCAAAGCTGTATACGTTGCTATATGCTTCCTTAATTTATTTCCTCTTAATGTGTGAGGAATAGTAGCCCCACACTCTAAGGCAAACTTGCGTAATAACGGGCAAGCTCTTATATATTTTTTTGATATTCCTGATGATCCGGGAGCCGAGAAAATATAGTGATTTGATTTCGGGATTCCGGCACTGTTGCGATGCTTTAATATAAGGTCAACTGCCTTTCTACTTAAAGGATCCAGCAATATGCTGACAGTACGTCCTAATTTGCCTCTTAGGGTAATTCTTACATACTGTTTAGCGAATTCAAAAGATTGGTTAGAAATATTATCAATAAATCCAGCTTCTATATTGTCAGTAATAGTTTCCTTCTTATTGTAGTTTTCAATAGTTATTCTCTCGATCTCACCGGCTCGTCGTCGATTGAACACTTGTAGACATATTAGAGTAGTTTCCAAAAGATTTTTCCAATCATCAAAGATAAATTGTTTAGTTAATGTAGCTATAGAATATACCATTTTGGTTCTTAGAAAATCATAAAGTTGTTTGATATCTTTTTTTTTTGGCAAATCTTCCTTCTTAGATCTTTTTTTGTTTTCTCTATCTTCAATAGCTGTTTTATTTATTTTCCGCCTTTACATTTCACCACACACGTACCTCCTTGGATTTGTGTTATAGATTTGGAATTTACTACACAAAATTCTGAATCGTCATATGTGATCAAGGAGAATTTAAATAATCTATAATAAAAAAATATTTAGTGTCAATTATTTTTGATAGATATTTTTAGTTTTATTTTTAAAACGTTTCTTGCTTCTCCCATAAACTTATGGTTTTTTGGGCTAAGTATGCTTACCTTGATAAATCAAATTGTCCTCTTGATATAGTTTCAAAAGATGAAAAATCTGTCGTATTATTCTCTTCCGAATCCGATGCGTTATTTTCACCATGTATAGTGACTGAAGACATAGGCTCTTTATCTGATCTGTTTGATCCTAGTGGAGGTAGATTTTTTATATACTCTTTCATGTATAACATTGTCGACGGTGAAATATTTTGATAAGCACGACCACGGCTCGCAGGAATTCTTGGTGCTATTTGTGTTTCTTGATTCTCCGCGTTTATTGTCCCCATTAAATTCTCACTTTGTTTCTTCTCTTCAAGATTTTCTTTATTATCTATGAAAATTAATGTATTAATATTTTAGTCCTGGTAACGTTCTAATATAAAATCTAACTCTAATGTATTCTACGGAACTCTACAAAACTCCGACGGATATAATCTTGAGTTATACTTAATTCGGTTAGTAAGTAAAACATTTTCCTTTGACGCTTTTTAGACTGTTACAGTCATATTGTTTCTTGTGTTTAATTATGAAAAAATGGCGCCTGTGATGCTTTAAGTTTATTTTTATTTATTTTTTGGACAAAGTAGCACGATCTAAATGATCGTTTTTCTATTTTGTGACCAAATTTGTTCCAGAAATTTTACAAATATTTTTGGAAATAAAATTCGAGCAATATTTATAAAATTCCGACGCGGGTTTGAAAATTATATTATTTCTTATTCACCTGCTGTAATTTTTTTCTTAAAAATCATTTTTGCATATTTTAGCAATAATTTTTCATACCCTTTGCATGCTGACAAGGACATGCGATGAAAAAAAGTTATTATCATGATTCCACAATATACAGGCATGTCATGGAAACTAATGTGTCGCATAGACACATAATTTATATCCTTATTTAAAAAAACGGCTTAACTATGTTAGAATATGTTTTGTATATTAAATTGTATTAACTTACCGTCAGCTTTAATGAAAATTGCGGAGTACGAACAGCCTTTATACTTTACAATACAATTGTCGGAATTGTGATGCTTCACGTCTTTTGTTTTGACAACATAGAAGTCACCGTCATTGTCAAACTTTACTAGGGAAAACATGTTGAACTAAAAAAAAACTTTCAACGAAATTTTAAAAAATTAACTAATAAAAGAAAAGTTTTAAGTTTTGTTTTATAGAGAGGGTTATTTTACATCTATTGAAGAATACGTAAAATTAAAGTAAAAAAAATTGGGACTAATAATTATTATAGATTCATTTTCAAATACGCGTCTTCAATCTTTTCTTCCTTTACAAAAAATAATTTAACGATAAAATATGCTAAGCAGAGCTTAAACATACTCTGTGTTTCTTGCACGAATTCGATCGGAAAGCGAAACTGGAGCAATCGCTCTCACTTTTTGATCGCTTCCTCGAGCGAGTAATAATCGCTCGCAAGCAAATCGGAACTCTGAATTAAAAAAATTCCGATTTGAATTCATTTTCACCCAATATGGCTAAGTCCATATACTTTTGGGTCCACTGTTGTCCCATTTGGAGGTGTGAGATTTCTGAATTCGCCATCAAAAATGGGATTAGACCACCCAATCTATTATTCCCTAAATATATTCCCACGTCAGAAAAAAATGCGATTTGTAGTCACCCAATATGGCTAAGTCCATATACTTTCGGATTTTCAACACTACTCCTTCATTTACTATTAAATTATACCTTATATAGTACTTTTCCAACAGTAATGGTACCCTTTTTTCAAAACATTTCCATATATCCATCTAACACAACATTTCGATTTGCATCTCTACCTTTCCACCCTAACACAAAATTACGAATTTCCACCTCTACTCATTATATTTACGTTCGAATTGTACATTATTAAGTACTTTTTTGTCAATTATGGTACTCGTTTTTTAAAACATCTCCATATATCCACCCACCTTTCTCTACTCAACAATTATATCCTATTTAGAAGTATTCCAACACTTATTGCTCTCGTTTTCCAAAACTTCTTTATATAACTATAGAGAGCTTTCCATTATTGATTCTCATACCAAATTCGACGATTCTAGGTCCATTCATTCATAACATACGAATAGTAACATTTAAAGTACATATTAGAAGTTTTCGTACCCTTTTGGTACAAATTTCCAAAAACGATTTGTCACATCTATCCTACACACCATCGGTGACGCTGAATCCAAATTGCAGAGCTGTAGCTCTTCTCGGTTGCTTTTCGTACCCTTCCAAACGTCAAAAAATCCAGCCTTAGAACTCACCTACAGCCCAACATCAACCCGGACGGAGCCGACTATATGACACCCTACACCACTGCTGTTATGTGCACAAAATTGCATTGGGTTTTTATAGCCTTCACTCGACCTTATGTGTCAAATTTCATGCCTTTTGGGCTAATTTGCACATTTGGTGCACAATGCATCAAAACTCGGATGAAGTTATATATGGGAGCTATATCTGAATCAGATCCGATTTTCACCAAATTTTATAGAGTTAATTCTTGGTGTACACCGACTACATGTGCTAAAGTTCATCCCCTTTGGGCTGATATTGCACAGGCTGTGCACAATAAACCAAAAATCGGATCAAGATATATGTGGGAGCTATATCTAAATCACATCCGATTTTCACCATATCCCGCAGAGTTAATTCTTGGTGTACATCGGCTACATTTGCCAAATTTCATCCCATTTGGGGTATTATTGCACAGGTTGTGCACAATAAACCAAAAATCGGATGAAGATATATATGGGAGCTATATCTAAATCTGATCCAAACCAAACAAACATTGTTTGCAAAATTACATCTCAATCGGATAATAAATACGACCTGCATTTTGTTCACAAGAATACATGGACGGACATGCATAAATCGATTAAAAAAATGATTCTATGAATATCTTCAAAAGTAACCATGGGTCTATCTCGCTTATTTCTCTCTGTTACAAACAAATTCACAAATACATAATACCCTTACCACTATGTGGTGTAGGGTATAAACACATTCTATTAAAATTTCGGTTTTAACACTTAGGCAGAAAAGGAATCTTGTTGAACTAAATTTTAATAACAGCAGCATTTGGGGTAGTTTGGACCAGGAAAGGCTGAATTTATTTACACAAAACAAGTAAATAAGCAGCCAATTTCGGCCGGGCCGAACTTTTAATACCCTCCATCATTTAGAAGGAATTTGAAATTTAAAAAAAATCCGTCGAAAAATAAAGCTAAAATGAAAAAAATACTGAATATCGGGAGATACCGTTATATGGGGGCTAAGCGAAGATGTGGACCTGCATAGATAGGTTGTAGTACCCATTGCGAATATTAAATGCGAAATTTGAAACAATTCTGGCGAAAATGTCGCTAAAATCATCAAAATACCGAATATCGGGAGGTACCGTTATATGGGGGCTATCCGAAGATGTGGATCTGCGTAGATATTTTACTGGCATAGGTTGTAGTACCCATTGCGAATATTAAATGCGAAATTTGAAACAAATCCGGTAAAAATGTCGCTAAAATCACCAAAATACCGAACATCGGGAGGTACCGTTCTGTGGGGGCTATCCGAAAATGTGGACCTACATAGGCAATTTTCTGTCATAGGTTGTAGTACCCATTGCGAAAATTAAAGACGAAATTTGAAACAATTCCGGTGAAAAATGTTGCTAAAATCATCAAAATACCGACTATCGGGAGGTACCGTTATATGGGGGCTATACGAAGACGTCGACCTATATGACCCCTTTTCAATACCAAAAGTCCTGCACACATTATATACATCTGAGCAAAATTTCATCAACCTATGTCATTTCGTTCGGTGGCTAGAGTGATTTTCACAGACGGACAGACGGACGGAAATCGATAAATCGACATAGAATTTTACGCTGATCAAGAATATATATACTTTGAGGGGTCTAAAATGTATATTTCGAGGTGTTACAAACGGAATGAAAAATTTAATATACCCTCCATACTATGTATGGTGGAGGGTATAAAAATACTGAATATCGGGAGATACCGTTATATGGGGGCTAAGCGAAGATGTGGACCTGCATAGATATTTTTCTGTCATAGGTTGTAGTACCCATTGCGAATATTAAATGCGAAATTTGAAACAATTCCGGTGAAAAATGTCGCTAAAATCATCAAAATACCAAATATCGGGAGGTACCGTTATATGTGGGCTATCCGAAGATGTGGATCTGCGTAGATATTTTACTGGCATAGGTTGTAGTACCCATTGCGAATATTAAATGCGAAATTTGAAACAATTCCGGTGAAAAATGTCGCTAAAATCACCAAAATACCGAACATCGGGAGGTACCGTTATATGGGGGCTATCCGAAGATGTGGACCTACATAGGCCATTTTCTGTCATAGGTTGTAGTACCCATTGCGAAAATTAAATACGAAATTTGAAACAATTCCGGTGAAAAATGTCGCTAAAATCATCAAAATACCGAATATCGGGAGGTACCTTTATATAAGGGCTATCCGAAGATGTGGATCTGCGTAGATATTTTACTGGCATAGGTTGTAGTACTCATTGCGAAAATTAAATACGAAATTTGAAACAATTCCGGTGAAAAATGTTGCTAAAATCATCAAAATACCGAATATCGGGAGGTACCGTTATATGGGGGCTATACGAAGACGTCGATCTATATGGCCCATTTTCAATACCAAAAGTCCTGCACACATTATATACATCTGAGCAAAATTTCATCAACCTATGTCATTTCGTTCGGAATCTAGAGTGATTTCCACAGACAGACGGACATCGATAAATCGACATAGAATTTTACGCTGATCAAGAATATATATACTTTGTGGGGTCTAAAATGTATATTTCGAGGTGTTACAAACGGAATGACAAACTTAATATACCCTCCATACTATGTATGGTGGAGGGTATAATAATGCATATATAAGTGCATGGACTCCCGCAAACACAAAGACATAAATAAGACTTATGAGCAGGGCACCCGGTTTGTGATATTCTGGTCAGGAATTTAAATAAAGATTTTTTAGGTGTTAGACAGGTGGGTTTCCACTATTCAAGTGTAGCTCCAAATAATTTACATTTATTTTTGTCCTATATGGGGTCGCAACTTTTCAGCCGATGTACTCTATTTTCAACCAAAATTATTGGTCACCGAAAGTATATGGGAAATAACCATATGCATTTTTAAGAACAACACAACAGTTTTTTGTTTCTTTTAAGAACAATAATCCAAAATTTTTTATCACTGTTTTATAACATAATTTGGATGTTATTGATAAATTGATCAAAAGACACATTAATACGCAAAAAGCAAAAAAGTTTGTACTCAAATCATGAATTTCAATAAACTCTTGAAGACAAGCAGCATATGGGCACTCGTCATTTCCATGATTTTCTTCTTTTGATCCAATGATTTCAGGTACTCCAAGCGAAGTGTTTCTTAAATTCCGCACAATTGTAGGTAGTTTTTTAAACATGAAAAAATCTGCAAAAGTAAAATGTTTAATAATTGCAAACGATGATCTACGAACATGTACTTACACTTTCCATTGAATTTTGATGAACTGAGCTTCCTGGCATTTGATTTCATTTTACTCCTCAGGTAAGCAAGATTTCCATTGTGAGAAACACTGCAAATGGTCAATATTTTCCAAACATTATCCATTTACGTTGATTTTGTTCTAATGTTAAAATAAAATTATTGTATAGGGAACACGAAATTGATTTTGTTCTTTGTTTTGCTATTTAATTCGATTTTGAGTAACAGGGATATGTAAATATATTTTCGACATAATGTAGCACGACCAATGACATCAACGATCACCGTTTGTATGTTTGATGCAGGGCCGCGGTTACATAATGTTGTGTCGAAAGTCGATACAATCTCAAAATCGAATCGATAAATATCAAAAGAAGAGAACAAAATCAATTTATTGCTCCCTATACAATAATTTTATTTGAAAGGGCGCGAAGTAATAAACAAAACATTGGAACAAAATATACGTAAATGGATAACGTTTGAAAAATATTGACCATTTACAGTGTTTTTCACAATGAAAATCTTGCTTACCTGAGGAGTAAAATAAAATCAAATGCCAGGAGGCCCAGTTCATCGAAATTCAAATGGAAAGTTTAAGTGCATGTTCGTAGATCATCGTTTGCAAATATTAAGCATTTTTCTTTTGCAGGTTTTTTATATTTGTTAAAAACTACCTACACCTTGTACGGAATTTAAGGAACACTTCATTAATGTGTGTTTTGATCAATTTTTCAATAACATCCAAATTATGTTTTAAAAACAGTAATAATATTTTATGAATATTTATTAGTAAAATAAAACCAAAAATTTTTGTGTTGTTTTTAAAAATGTATATGGTTATTTCATCTATTCTTACGGTGACCAACATTTTTGGTTGAAAATAGAGTACATTTAGACATCGACTCAAAAGTTGTGACCCCATGTAGGACAAAAATAAATGTAAATTATTTGGAATAGTGGAAAGCCTACCTGTCTGGCACGGATTTAAATTCCTGACCAGAATATCACAAACCTCTCTCTATGAGGTTTTGAATGTCGCGCCGTACGAACTCCGCGATAAGAGTCGGCCTATATATGGACCGTGTGCACTGATCATAAGAGTGAATGCACTTATATGTGCATTATTTTGTTTGATTGAATTTAGCCTTGCCTGGTCCCAATTACCCCAAATGCTGCTGTTATTAAAACTTAGTTCAACAAGTTTCCTTTTCTGCCTAAGTGTTAAAATCGAAACTTTAATAGAAAGTGTTTTTATACCCTCCGCCATACTATGGAGGGTATATTAAGTTTGTCATTCCGTTTGTAACTCCTCGAAATTCTCATGTTAGACCCCACAAAGTATATATATTTTGGATCAGCGTAAAATTCTAAGTCGATTTATCGATGTCCATCTGTCTGTCTGTTGTAATTACGCTATCATTCGAACGAAATGAGATAGAAGGCTAAAATTTTGCACACATGTTTATTTTGTCAGTAGGCATGTTAAGTTCGTAAATGGGCCATGTCGGCCCACGTTTTCGTATAGCTCCCATATAACTGTACCTCCCAATATTCGGTATTTCGATGATTACTTATTAACCGGAACTGTTCCAAATTTCGTATATGAAGTTCGGAATAGGTTATACAGCATATGACACAAAATTACACATTCAGGTCCACGGCTTCGTATAGCACCCATATAACGGTACATCCCGATATTCGGTATTTTGATGATTTTAGCGACATTATTAACCGGAACTGTTCCAAATTTCGTATTTGAAGTCCGAAATGGGTATTACAGCCTATGTAGAAAATTGCCTATGCTGGTCCCCGTTTCCGTATAGCCCCCATACATCGGTATCTCCCGAATTTCGGTATTTTGAAAGTTTCTGCCACAATCAACATTGATAAACATAGTGGTTAATGGTATAAATAGTTCGGCACGGCCGAAATTACTACTTACTGTCTTAACGATTTTCTTCATTTAAAAACTCACCTGCGCTTCTATGACTTTAAACAAATCAACATAGTGGACAACGAGAACCATCAATAAAAAAGAGGACACATAAAGTACGTTAATAAAATATGGAACGCAAACCAAAAAAAGTACTGTTCACTATAATAGAGTAAACTTATGATGCAAGTAGGCTTTAATAATCCAAAATGTTTAATAAAAAAAGATACATAACTATTTTTCAATAATAAAAACGCTAACACTGCAATAAATGAAAAATTTTACCTATTTTCATCGTGTAATGTGATGTGTGCCGCTTTATATCTACTTAAACTATTTATACCCTACACCACATAGTGTTAGTTTGTCACTTCGGAGAATATACATAGGGCTGTCCTTAAATGTCAGACTGTCTTTAAATACCAGAATTGCAGGCTACATTTTGAGTTTTTTTCTAAAATTTTCAAGCTGTCCCCCCTCTTCAACATTAACCGCCTCGGCCGCCCTTGTGTATAGAACTAAAATCATTTCAATCCAATGAATTGTATTAATTTTCAAATCTTTTAATAATCAATTTATGAAAATAAAAAGTCCGAACACCAAAAATTGAAACAAAATCTAATTATTTTGAATTGAAGGAGCGCCAGACATTATTTAATCACACACGCACACAAAGGGTTCATCGACAGCAGCAGTTTGGCAGTAAATGTATGGGCCGCTTACAAAGCATACAAATATTGAAAACAAAAAAAAAACATGACAAAAAAGGGTTAATCATGGCAAATGATTCATAAACACTCACACACTTTTCATTACAATTTTCCCTTTACACACCAGATAAGGAAGGTTTGCACGCTGAAATAAATTTTTAGATCAACAATATTTCATAATAATTATCTATTACCTCACCTTGAATATTCATCTACAATATTTTATTTACGAGCGCAATGTAAATAAAATATTGTAGATGAATATTCTTCTTTCAAGTGTATTGTTCGGAAAACTAAAAATTGATTTTGATGAATTGATCATGTAACATCGGCTCTGTTGTCCAACAAAGAATAGCGCTTATCGCTGTCGATAATCGACTTGAATATCCCTAAACGCGAATAAAGTAACAAAAGCAATGATCGAAATAAAATTTTAGTTCCCTGAACAATACTTTCGAAAAAGGAGAACGCAAAGTAAACAAAATATTGTACGTGAATAGTTAAAGTGAGTTAGCGGATAATTATTAGAAAATATTGTTAATCAGAAATGTATTTCAACGCGTAAACCTTCCTAAACTACTGGGTGAAGGGAAATATATGCATAGATGGATATAAAAAGTGTATGTTAATGTTTATAAATTGTTTGCATTGAATAACCCTTTTTCTTTTGCCAGATTTTTTGGTTTTTTTAAATTTGTCATGCGGCTCATACATTTTCTGCCAAACTGCTGCTGCCGCTGAACATTTCGTGTGCGTGTATGATTAAATAATGTCTAGCGCTTCTTCAATCCAAAAATAATTAGATTTTGTTGGAAATTTTGATGTTCGGAATTTTTTCCAAACATAAAATTTGAAAATAAATACAATTCATTGGATTGAAGGGAATTCAGTTTTATAAATTGTTTTGATCTCTATCCTGCTTGAAAACTCACACATTAGTCATGTTTATGTTGGGGAATTTTCAAATAAAAAATCATAAAGGAGGTTATTCTGAGGAGTTTGGCTTATCTCTATTTTAGTAAAAACTCTAGAATTTTTTTGCAGTGGTTGAAATTGTTGTCCTGATCACAGGAAAGTACTTTTTTCGTGGGAAACGGCCCGGAACCGATAACTACAATATGGGTATCGTTGGAAAGCTTATTTTGAACAAGTAGTAACATGTCGGTATTATTTCTATCACTTTAGGAGATATTTCCAAAATACCTGTTTTCAAAATGGGGTTTTTTGTAAAACACTACCCATTATGGGGTTTCGCAATATTGGTACCAAATTAAATCGTACCTTTTGACCTTTCCAAAATGGTATAACATAAAAATATGGCCAAAGGTCGGCCAACTTAAAAATGTAATGAATATAGATATATTTTGGATCCCGTAGCCTGTGTTGGAAATACCCCAGAGGAGAAAATCTCATGTCACGGCCGAAGGCCTGCCACCTAAAAAGATATTGAATAGGACTGCTTCCGTCGAAAAATGAAGCTGAAATCTTTAAAATACCAACAATCGGGTGGTATTGTTGTGTGGGGGATATATCAAAGAGTGCACCGATATAAGCCATTTTCGAACTAAAACTAAGTTTGGTCAAAAAACTACTGTGAGCCGAATTTGGGCCAGATCTGGGGCTCCGTTTGAGAGTTGTCGAGCTCACCAGCCAGCCAGACAGACGGACGGAGGACATTGCTAAAGCGACTCCAAATTGTCTGAAACGGGTTTACTCTTAACACGTGTGGGGTCTAACACTATTATTTCGAATTGGCACATTTTCATCGTATGAGGGGATAAAAACCAAAAGAGTTAAATGTCTTTTGGGAGCTCCAGCTTTGATCGGGCTGAAATTTTTGCCATAGTTAGTCCTTAGCTTCCTGACCACAACGACATACATATTTTCGAGGGGAAGTCCATACTTCCCGAGAAATGGGCCTTGACTTTTCGGAAAATCACCATTATTACTGCTATAACAATATGCATATCATTTTAAAGCTCACGAATAGTACTTTATAATGCGGACAATATAGAAGAGTTAATAATGGTGATATATATCAAAAAGTCAGGACACATATCTCGGGAAGTATGGACTTCCCCCTGAAATATCAATATCGTTGTGATCAGGAAGCCAAGGACTTACTATGGTAAAAATATCAGCCCGATCCGAGAGGAGCCCATTATGAACCCAAAGGTACTATTGTAGGAAATTTCCTAAAAGTCAAGACCCATATCCCGGGAAGTATAGACTTCCCCCGGGAAACCTATATATTGTTGTGATCATGGTCCCGGAGACTACCCCACCTCCAATCTTACTCCATCTTTTATAATAAATAATTTGTTTCTTATGCTTAATTAACTGTGCAGTTACTTACATTTTAATACTTCTTCAGCAGACGCACCGATTTCCTTAAAACCTCCTGGTTTTTCTTCTTTTTATAAGAGAGGGAAGACACACTTGCTCTTCAAAACGTCTTTTTTAATTCTGCAGCAACTTTATTTTAAAATTTTTCTTTTATTTTTATAATTGGAAATTGCGCTATAAACTGTAAAAACCAATCCGATTTATTTCACACAGTAACAACGAATGACGCGCTTTTGAAAAACTTGCATAATATGGCTTCACGCAACATTAAACTACAACACTGTTGCCTATGAAAAATATCAACAGAGATGTATTTTTCATGCCGAAACCTTCGGTCCGAAATCGACTCGATTTAAAGAAATCATGATATAAGCCCCAATGCTTTCCTCTTTAGCAGAAGGAACCAAGTAAAATGAATCTCATGTCAACTTTGAAAAGATAAAAATCTTAAAATATGTGAAAATCTAACAACATTAAAAAAATTTAAAGATGTATGCATATATCCTGTGTGGATTTATAAATATTTTGTAGCTTTGTTCCAGTACTGCAAGAAGTTACTAATTTTTTTTATTTTTCTCGATAACATTAAGGAATTGTATCTTAGTAAAAAATTTTAGATTCTTGCAAACAAAAATTAAGAGAGAATTAACTAGGTGACTATGAATTACATATAGCGTCGTATGAATGGGTTTATTCGTGTACCCGCTTTACTTTTTGTGCTCTATGAGTTCGTAAAATCGAGTCGATTTTGCACCGCAAGTATAAACGCGCCTAATTTACTTTCTTTTGTTTCTGGATTTTTACGCAAATTTCAGCAAATTGACAACATAAGAAAATAGTGTATACTTTCATTTTCAGGCATACCAAATACTTTAAATCATAAATAAAATGAAATCGTTTGGTATGCAAATATAATAGTCCATTTATATTGAAGTTCTTTATCAGGACTTAGCGCATTATCGGGTTTTATTTTCTTAATTTCATCAAAATCAGCCAGATTTGTCATACAAAATGAATCTTTACTTATTTTAAAACCGGCACAAATCCTCAAATGCAACACTGTTTTTTAAACATAAATCTGAACACTTCCAAAAAATCAAAAAGTAACACTTTATATGAGTCATTTTGAGTTATCACAAAGAAAATACTAATTTTGCAGTAATAGTACGTTAACACTAACTGGGTCAAGGTTAAACTTGTCAAATCATTTGCATACACGTCAAATAAACCGACATGAAGAAAGTTAAACTGCAAAACCTCATGTGAAAAAATAAGCAAAATAAAGGAAATAAAGTAGCAATGATTCCTACAGAAATCAAGTTTCATTGAAATTGCTTTTTTTAAATATTAAATACAAATAATGCGTATTCAAATGTTGAGATATGCTCTGTCTTAAAACTACAGGGTAGTAGACCCTATTGTAGACGTATTTTTGCCGATAACATAAAGAAAAAAATGTTATTTTCAGATTCTGGAACATATCAAAAATTTAAGGATTTGTTGCTTAAACATCATAAACGTTTATCTAAATTCTGCGATATTTGTACGGGATTTTTTAAAATCTAGTAGAGATTATATTCCCTATAACTGAGCTATAAATCCTAAAAAAGATCCAAAGTTTGGTTTTGTCTTCGGCAAAAAAATACAACACTGTTGACACTTTTGCATGCAGTGTTGTAAAACCTTTAGCATATTTTGATGTCATAAGTGACAACAGTGTTGTATTTCCACGTCGTGGTCGGAACGTAACGGAAGAATGTGATAACTTGTTATTGTAGTAAACATTGTAGTAAACATTGTAGTAAACATTTGTAGTAAACATTCTAGTACATAGCAATTGCAAGTCCAAATCTACATTAGTTTATCGGTGAGAGAGTTTATAGTACGTTTACAACTGACTGGGTTAAGCCACTGAATTAAGGTTTAAAAAATAAACCCAAATTGGGGTGGTTAACCTCTGTCTCCATCCAATTGACAATTGGAGTAAAAAAAATTGTTTGAGTTATTAGACTAATCTTCACAAATTTTCCACAGTCGCACTTTGGTTGGCTTTCGCTTTGTTTTTTATGATTAAATTAGTCCGAAGCTTATTCCGTAATATTTAAACGACTACACTCAATATGTATATTTCATAAATTTCATGTGATTTTTCTGTGATTATTGCAAAAACAAAATAAAACTAGTAAGCAAAGGCTACAGTCGGGCGGGGCCGACCGTATAATACCCTACAACACTATAATAAGCCATGCAATTTATATAGGAATGATACTCGAACGCATTCTTCAAGATAGAGTGATAAATAATTTTTCGTGTAGTATGGCTTTAATCTATTTTTTATATCCAATTTAAAAATTGATGTTGGACTCAAATGCTGCTCGTTTCGAATTATCCTATATCTAGAAAATGGCAAAAAAAAAACATTATTGTTTTTTTAACCGAAACCATGTGGACATGCTCATTTTCGTAGCATTTAACCCATATTTACCCCCTCTGTATCTCCAAATATAGACTCTTCTACATGATTTGCTTTTCTTTCAACGAAATCTACATAAAAATGCCAGAAGTTCGTCTTTTGTATATTTGTAATTCCGCCTGGAAGTTATTTTCAGGATTTCGGTAAAATGAAAATGTTCGTATTTTTCGCACAAAAATAGTCGTCCATTCTACCCGCTGTCCTGAACTCTAACCTGATGCGATATTTCGTGTTCTTTGGTCTCTTATTGTGCCCTTTTTAACGGCTGCAAAATCAGAAAAATTTTTAGTTGCTGGCCCATTTCAGCCACTAAATATATTGCGGAAATCTTCAATAACAATAGGCCTAACATTTTTGAGCCTAACCCTACCCTCGTGAAAATTTTCGTGAAGATCGGACGATAATTGCAATCTGTATATTATAATCCCAACCTGTGTTGTAAGGTAAAAAAAATATTAGTAAATGTATATTCAATATTCGTGAAGATCGGACGATAATTACAATCTGTATATTATAATCCCAACCTTTGTTGCAAGGTAAAAAAATATTAGAATATGTATACTTTAATATTGTAAGTCAAAATGAGAAAATCACATGCGATAAAAAATATGAAAAAAATAAAAAATATCACAAAATATTACAAAATGCATATTATCGTCATTATTGACATCTTTTTATGCGAAACAAAAAAAAAACATTCTGAATTGACAAGATTTGTCAAAATCTGTCCAGCCATTCTTGAGATATAAGCGCTCAAACTAACATCCATTTCCATTTTATATATAAATTCTACATATTTCGCTATATATACCTGATATCATTACTATCAACATCTATGTAACGGTCAGAATTGACCTTCTCGTCTATTTGTGATTTTGCCGGGACTAAAAATATTCGCGGTTTATTGAAAAATTTGATTTTTTCAACACAAAATTCGGGGTCTATTTCACCCGCTAAATATTATCCGATGTCCACCAAAATTAAAAGATTTCTGGCCAATGCTAAGCTCTAGCCCCATGCTAAATTTCGCTTGGTCTATAAGTGCGACCTGTATAGCCACTTCAAAATCAGACATTTTTTCAGTATTTGGTCCATTTCAACCCCTAAACATGTGGCGATCATCTCCAAAAACAATAGGCTTCTATTCTGACCCTAACCTCACCTTCGTGCAAAATTTCGTGAGGATCGGACCATAATTGCGACCTGTAGCGTGAATACAAATTAACATGGAAAGACGGACAGACGGACGGACGGACATACATAGCTAGATCGACTCAGCTCGGCGAGCTAGGAAGATCCATATAACACATAGTGTTGTAGGGTATAAATATGCAGCATTCTGTTACAGATTTTATGTTTTCTTTGTCAGAATTGCAATAATTTTCCATTAATTTGCCAACGTTCGTGTTAGGATGTTTATGCGTTAAAGAAAACATGCAGGCAGTCCAAAGTTGTCACTTCCAGTAATAGTGAACGGCGCCAAATATTGTAGAAAATTGGTTGAAACTCGGCAACCCTACCGGAATAAACATACATTTTTTGCAAATAAAATGAATATATATAATGTTTGCAGGCTAAACATTAAAAAATTATTTTTTTTTTAGAATGAGAAATAGTTAAAATACCATAGGAGCATAAAAAGTACATTTGTAAATTTTGTGTCCCCAAAGAGATCATGTCCCCAGAGAGTTCACAGCATATAAAAAAATGCTGGCCAAATGTCCTCAAAGAGGTCAAATCCTCCAAAAACTGTCCCCAAACATCTTAAAATATGTGAAAATCTAACAACATTAAAAAAATTTAAAGATGTATGCATATATCCTGTGTGGATTTATAAATATTTTGTAGCTTTGTTCCAGTACTGCAAGAAGTTACTAATTTTTTTATTTTTCTCGATAACATAAAGGAATTGTATCTTAGTAAAAAATTTTAGATTCTTGCAAACAAAAATTAAGAGAGAATTAACTAGGTGACTATGAATTAACTAGGTGACTATAGCGTCGTATGAATGGGTTTATTCGTGTACCCGCTTTACTTTTTGTGTTCTATGAGTTCGTAAAATCGAGTCGATTTTGCACCGCAAGTATAAACGCGCCTAATTTACTTTCTTTTGTTTCTGGATTTTTACGCAAATTTCAGCAAATTGACAACATAAGAAAATAGTGTATACTTTCATTTTCAGGCATACCAAATACTTTAAATCATAAATAAAATGAAATCGTTTGGTATGCAAATATAATAGTCCATTTATATTGAAGTTCTTTATCAGGACTTAGCGCATTATCGGGTTTTATTTTCTTAATTTCATCAAAATCAGCCAGATTTGTCATACAAAATGAATCTTTACTTATTTTAAAACCGGCACAAATCCTCAAATGCAACACTGTTTTTTAAACATAAATCTGAACACTTCCAAAAAATCAAAAGTAACACTTTATATGAGTCATTTTGAGTTATCACAAAGAAAATACTAATTTTGCAGTAATAGTACGTTAACACTAACTGGGTCAAGGTTAAACTTGTCAAATCATTTGCATACACGTCAAATAAACCGACATGAAGAAAGTTAAACTGCAAAACCTCATGTGAAAAAATAAGCAAAATAAAGGAAATAAAGTAGCAATGATTCCTACAGAAATCAAGTTTCATTGAAATTGCT